CGTAATCGTGCTCGCCGTCGTCGCCGTCGTCGTTGAGCTCGTCGTCGTCGTCGCCGCCGTTGTTGTCGTCGTCGTCGCCGCCGTTGTTGTCGTCGTCGTCGCCGTCGTCGTCGCCGTCGTCGTCGTCGTCGTCGGCGCCGTCGCCTTCGTCGCCGTCGTCGCCGTCGTCGTTGGTTTTCGTCGTCGTCGTCGGTTTCGTCGTCGCTTTCGTCGTCGTTTTCGTCGTCGCCGTTGTCGTCGTCATCGTCGTCGTCCTCGTCGCCGCTCCCCGCCGCTCACCGCCGCCGCCGCCGCCGCCGGCCGGCCGCCAGCGCCGGCCTGGAGGGCGTGTGGGGGGGGGGGGGGGTTGAGTTCGACCCCCCCATTTGAGGGAGGGGGGGGGTTTCGAACACCCACCCTCCTTGAATCCAGGGGGGTGGGGGGCCGGTTCCGACCCCCCCCCCTCCAAGCGTCCACAGAGCGGCTTGTTCAGAGACTTCTGTATGCACCAGCCGCAAAGCTGTTGGGCGGCTGCGTTTCCTTATGGGTTCTCGTTTGCTGTTTCCTTGGATCCAGGGGGGTGGGGGGCCGGTTCCGACCCCCCCCCTCCAAGCGTCCACAGAGCGGCCTGTTCAGAGACTTCTATATGCACCAGCTGCGAAGATGTTGGGCGGCTGCGTGCCTCAGTATGGGTTCTCGTTTGCTGTTTCCTTTTGGTTCCCATGGCCACCGGCTTCCAAGTGCGCATGTTACCCAGGCGGAGCGTGATTTCGCTTCAAGACGGGGCGCTCGCTCAACGCAGGTATCGAACATCATGGTCCTACACTTTCGCGTCCCTGACAGCGAAGACGGTACAGGGTAGTTCCTTTTCAGAACGAGGCTATCGCCAGAGTGGAAGGCCCATAGAGCGCTCGCATTTCAGAGAGATGCTTCCTGCGATGGAAAGATACGTATGGCGACGCACGAGGGACCTTGGGACGGCAGGGTGTATTGCAGCGTCGTTGCTGCATCCTGGGTTTACTCTGGTCCCTCCTCCTCCTCCTCCTGCTCCTCCTCCTCCTCCTCCTGCTCCACCTCCTCGTTTCTTCTCCTCATAGCTTGGGAGATCGGTCGCAGCATCTCGGCTGCATCGGGGCTCCGAGCGGCCCCCTGGTACCCCGGCCACATGCGCGCTCGGCGTTTAGCGCAACGGTTTCGCGACCCCGAGGAGACACGAGGATGAAGAGCTCCCCTTGCCCGGCGCGGTCTGCATCCTGGGAAGAAAGGAAGGTTCGACGAGCGCGTTCCACTACTCGCAAAACGACTACTCGCAAATGGCCTGGATCCGCCGGGGGGGATCTACGAGAACTGCGAGAAATCACATCGAAGCAGACATGCGTTTTTTCTGACGCTTGCGAATAGGCATGTTGCGACTAGTGGAACACGCTCGGTGGAAGGTAGGCGGAACGGCGCTGCGGGGGCGCCCAGAATGCCTCCGCCCCGGCTCCGGGCCCGCCCGGCCCACCGGGCCAGGGCCTCCGTGCGGACGTCGGCACAACTAGGCAACGAGATGCGAGCCCTACCCCTACAGTTGTGGATGCCACGACACTGGACACCCTAACAGTCCTATCGTTGAATTTCAAATGTGCTTAAAATGCCGGAAACTTGTTCTGAACATGTTTTAGACATTGTTTGTTTTTACACATATTTGAAACATGTTCAACTCATGTTTTAGACATCTGGAAATCATTTGGCAACAGGCTTCCGCTCCATGGATCGTCCTCCACAACCCGACAGGCCAGAATTGTGCAAAACGGGCCGGGGCTTAGAATCTGCAGGGTGTCTGCAGCCAGGCGAACCCCAGCGGGATTTGTTTCTTCCTGCGCGTCCGGGGAGGGGTCCATCTTGGCGTTCGCCGGCAGACGAGCAGCACCCGAGCGAAAACTACGCTGCAGAGCCACAAGAACATCCAAGGGCTCCCAACTTCGCGCTTCGCGCTGCGCGAAGCGCGAAGTGCGAATAACTTCGCGCTCTCGCGCCGCCTCCCAGGGGAGAAGAGGAGGATGAGGAGAAATCGGAGCCGAACCGCGAAGCGCGAATAACTTCGCGCACTCGAGGGCGCCCTTGAACATCCGTGGCCCTGTCAGCTGACTCAGTGTGGGCGAACCACCGTCGAGGGCGTGGAGTTCGACCAGCGCCTCCTCCCCTGGCCATCGCTCGGACGTCCATTCCCTGTGCTTTTTTCGGTTTCGTGCGTCGTTTTTTCGCCAGATGATCAAGGATGCTCCTCGATGGACCTCGCCGAGGGAAACATGCACACGTCCGAGCGATGCCTCCTCCCCCTGCCCCTCCGGTGGTCTCCCGCGGGGACGGGTGACACCCCAACGGCGAGAAACTCCGACCGGGGGCCCTGCGACCCCGAGGCGGCGGACCTGCACCGCACCCTGGCGGCTCTTAAGACCTCGGCCAGCCTCCACGAGCCTGCGGGCGAGCTGCCGTGGACCCAGACCTCGGGAAGGTCACGCGGCGCAGCCAACCTCGCGCTCTCCTCCTCCTCCTCCTCCTCCTCCTCCTCCTCCTCCTCCTCCTCCTCCTCCTCCTCCTCCTCCTCCTCCTCCTCCTCCTCCTCCTCCTCCTCCTCCCTGGTCGGTTGGACCCCGCAGAACAGGGGGCCCGGGCCCGCGGCAGTCCTGCTTCGCCGCGACCTCCCGCGCGTCCGCGTCGCGCGCCCGCCGCAGCTGCGCCACGGCCTCCTCGTGGGCCGCGGCCTCCCGGCCGGTGGCCGCGTGCTCCCTCTGGAGCTCCTGGCGGGGGACGCCAGCGGCCCCCCTTCACTGGCCCTGGGCTACAGTCGGGGCGTTGACCTAAGGAACCCTAAATAAGGAACGAGGCCCCTTTTTTCCACAAGTTAAACTTCGATTTCCGATCGAAAACATGAGGAAAACCTGAGGCAAGCTGTGAAACACTTAGGGAACACGGAGCCCCTCCCCAACGAAAAGGGTTCCTTCTTCAGGGCCCCGACTGTAGGCGCGTCCTGGGCTCAGGGTCGGCGTCTGCGGTCGGGACTTTCTTGCTTCGCGTGTCGCGGCGGCGGCTCCTGCGACACGCTGTGCATGGCGAGTGGATGGCGTGCCGCTCCGCTCCGCCGGGCCGGAGGCTGTGAAAAGTCGGGGCACTGACGCTCGGGGACCGGGAAGTGGATGGCGTGGCGCGCCGAAGCGCGGTGAGCCAGAGCCAGCGAAGCGGCACGCTGTCCAACCGTTCCTGACCGTACGCCCTCCTGGCCTGGCCCGGGAGGCGCGTGCGTCCGCCCTGTGCCCGGTATCGGCCCGGTCAGACATGGTGCACGTGCACTGCTGAGGCCCCCCGGATCCTGCAGGGCCTCCTCGAGGCTCGCCGCCTGCTCGGCCGCGGCCACGTGCCGTCTCTGGAGCTCCTGGCAGGCCTCCTCCTGCCTCGCGCACGCCTCGGCCTCGTCCTGGCACTGGGCGCACGCCGCGCGGAGCTCCTCTCGGGCTGGACGCACCGAGCGACGAGCGACGGCGACGGCGGCGGCGGCGATGGGGCGGCTGCAGCAGCGGCGGCGACGGCGGCGGCGGGCCGTGGGTCCAGATCACGCAGCGTTGCCCTCGGGGCGCTGTGCGAAGCGCGAGTGTCCCCTCGCCCTCGCAGCGCCCGCCCAGCATCAGCATCAGCATCAGCATCATAATATTCCTCCTCCTGCTCCTCTCTGGTCCTCTATTGTTCCTCTCTGCTCCTCTCTGCTCCTCCTCTCTCATCGTCCTCATCGTCCTCCTCGTCCTCCTCCTCCTCCTCCTCCTCCTCCTCCTCCTCCTCCTCCTGCTCCTCCTCCTCCTCCTCCTCATCCTCCTCCTCCTCCTCCTCCTCCTCTCCCTCCTCCCTCCTCCCTCATCCAAGATGACCGAACCTTCAGGACTTCAGGACCAGCTCCAGGAAGACAAACCCCGACAGAATATGTGCTGCAATCGCTCAGGCAACGCACGATGCAGTACAAAGCGCATGGCCCTCCGACATAGAAGACGACTTTTGCCTCCTCCCCCCACCTCAGATGTCGCCCCTGAGGAGGGAATGGAAAGAGGCTGCACGGAGCTCTCAGAGTTTCAAGTGAAGTTGTCAGAAGAATTCTGGGAGGCGCCCGGCTTCGCTCGGAGCACGACTCCCAGGAAACGAGGTGACCCGGAGTTTGGCCGCTGGTTTCCCCCCCTCGCCCTCGCCCCCTGCTGGCTCCCCCCCCTCCCGCGCCGAGGAGCCCGACCTCCCCCCGCCGCAGGGCGCGGCGCCAGAGCCCGCCGCTGCCGCAGGCGCCAGGCCCTCCTCCCTGCCCGACGAGGCCGGAGACCTGTCCTCTGGCCCAGACGACGGGGCTCCCCCTTTCGCTCTTCCTCGCCTCCCTCGTCCCCTCCCCCTCCCTCGGCCCTGCCCCCCGTCCTCACGCCTGACCAATTGGCAAGAGCTGCATCCCATCGTGCCGCAGCCCGTCCACGGCGCCGCAGGCGCGTCGCACGAAAGGTCTGGTCAGCTCGCCCTTTCACTTCTGATTACTCTGCGTGTTGCCGCGGGAAGCCCTCGCCCCTGCTACAGGCCCTGAGGCGAAAAAGAGTTTACTAGAGCTGTGCAAGTCTTCGCGACACTGCCATCGTCCGCCGCCTCCGTCCTCTCCCTCCTCCCTCCTCCTTCATCCGTCCTCCGTTCTCCCTCCTCCCTCCTCCCACTTCCCTCCTCCCTCTTCTCTCCCCCCCTCCTCCTTCCTCCCTCCTCTCCTCGCTCTTCCCTCCTCCCCTCTCGCTCCTCCTCTGTCCCTCCTCCGTCCCTTCCTCCCTTCTCCCTTCCTCCCTTCTCCCTTCCTCCCCCCCCTCCCTCCGTCCCGCCACTCCTCCTCCCTTCCCTCCCTCCTCCCTCTTCCCTCTCTTCCCCTCCCTCCCCTCCCGCGCGCCGCGGGGCCGCTCCTCGAGGTGCGCCGCCCCCTCCCGCTCGGCCTCCTCGTGGGCGCGCCGCAGCCCCTCCAGGGCCCGCCCGCGCTCCGCGGCCTCCTCGAGCGCGCCGGCGCGCTCCCGCTGCAGCCGCGCGAGGGCCTCCTGTCGGGAGGCGGAGGTGCCGTGAGGCGGCCTCCGTCGGTGCAACCCCGCGTGGTGCAAGTGATGCTGTGCAGCCTAGAGGGCAGCTTGGGACACATAGGATTTTTTATACAAAGAAACATATAAGTTTTTTCACGCATGATTGATGTATGGATGAAGTTATGCATGGGCTCATCATTGTTTTCGATACTAAAACCCTGCATTTTTCATACATGATCCGCACGCGGAACATGCATTAAAAACGGCACTGTACGTGGCGCAGGCTACGTGGTGCAATTTGCCCATGTTCGCGGCGAGTTGTCAGAACCACCGCTCGCACAAACATCCCGCCCGCCCACCCAGAAGCCATGCGACGGCGATCGCGATGAGCCCATGCGACGGCGATCGCGATGAGTGTCTGGCATTGGCTGGTGCATATCTGCGGCCGCGCTAGCCCGCGCATGATCGTGCGCGCAGCGACCAGCTAGTGCGGCGCGACCGACGCGGCCGCGGTGGCGCTCACCGCTAGGCACTTCCAGCGTGCACTTCAGTGCGAGTCGGTGACTTGGGCGGGCGCGGTATCATGGCGAGGCCGACAACGGTAGACACAAGTATGAGGGTAGTGATGATGGTGACGATGGTGGCGATGACGACGGCAAGGCCAATGACGGCGCCGATGTTGACCACGCCCGCCGATAACGATGACGATGTCCTCGCGTCGGTGATGAAGGTCTTGGAAGGAATTCGAATGCGCACGCGGCCGACGCGCGCGAGTGACCCGCATGATATTATTTGACACGGACCGTGCCCCCCCGCAGCACGCGCGCAAGGGCGTTCGGATGAGTTCGACATGCGGCGCGAGAAGCCCGTTTGGCAGAATTGGATGGCAATGTCGAAGACCCTACGCTTATCTTAAGACTTCGCACGAACGCGCGCGCAAGTTTTTTGAAAACTGCAAAACCACGTGTCTTCATTTGTTTTCGTGACACTCGTCATTGAAAATCCTTACGCAATCAAGATGTTTGAAAGATTTCGGCACGCGCGCGCGACGACGCACGCGCGCGCGCACTTCGCCCCATTTTCTGCGAAGGGTTTCTGCGACGGCACGCGCGCAAGGGCGTTCGAGCGATTTCGACACGCGCGCGCGAAAAGGCCCGCGTGGTAGCATATTATGAGCGCGTTGGAAACGAGGATTTGCTCAAGAACTCGCAAGAGCGCGAGCGCAGGCTTATTTGAAAGTCATCGTTGCGAAACTATGTGTTTTAGTGTGCTTTCGTGACGCTCGAGCTTGAAACCTTTACTAAACCGAGGAGGTTTCCGAACGCAGAAAAAATCGGCGCGCGCGTGCACCTCGCCCCGTCTGTTGAAAAGGGAATGTTAACAACGGATATGACTCTTGATAAACGAGTGCGCGCGCATGAGATCTTTTGCAGAGAATGAGGGGAGGAAGTGCTACCGACCTGTCTGGGATGGTTTGCTTTCATATTCAGGATGGGCGATGGGGCAAAATCACACGCGCACTGGGGGGGGGCGGGGGGGAAGTCGATCCTGAGCTCTTTGAGAAACGAGAATCTACGCGGCGCAGTCCAAGGGGCGCATTTTATGCGGTGCAATCTATGTGGCGCCACGTGCGTGGTGCAATCTCTGGTGTGCAACCTACATGGTGCACTACATACGTGGTGCAGTCTACTGCCGCGGCGACACGTAAAGACGAAACTCACGAAGACGAACCAGCCCGAGCCCAACAAATACATTCTTCTGTTTACCTCTCGCGCTGCCACCCCGCCCGCCCGCCCGCAACTTGGCGCGCGCGGCCCGCGCGGCGGCGATTCCCACGACTGTCTGGCGCTGGCTGGCGCATCCTTGGTCGCCGCGCTGGCGCGCGCGGACTCGCGCGCGACTCGGCCAGCCTAGTCCGGCGCGGCCGACGCGGCCTCGACGGCGCTAACCGCTGGAGACTCCTCCTCCTCCTCCTCCTCCTCCTCCTCCTCCTCCTCCAGCGCGTCTCGCGGGCCGCGCCGACACGCGGGCGATTCGGCGCGAGTCGGCGACCCGGGCGGGCGCGGCGCCGCGGCGACGTCGACGGCAGCGAACGCGACGACGATAGTGGCGACGCTGGCGGCGATGATGGCGATGACGACGGCGGCGCCAATTGCGACGCCCACGCTGACCGCGCCAGCGACGCTGATGGCGCCCGCGCGTCGGCGATGAAAATTGCTGAAGAATTTCGACGCGCGCGCGCGGCCCGCAGGCGCGAGTGGTCTGCGCGGCGATGTTTGGCGGGGGTCGCGCCCCTCCAAGGGCGCGCGAGAGGCCCACTTGGACGCAGTTGATGAGAATATTGAAGCACCGATGGCCCCCGCAAGACTTCGCGAGACCGCGCGCAGACTTTTGCTGCAAAACCGCGTTGCAAAACATTTGGTATTGTTACGCGTTTTCGGGAGCCTCGATCTTGAAGCCCGTCCATGAGTTGATTTTGTCCCATATGTTGTTGGATATTGCTGCAAATGCATAGTTTTTGATGAACGAGCGCGCGCGCAATATGATCGAGCAGGGGCGAAGGGGGGGGTCGATGAAGGTGCCCCCTGGGATGGTTGGAGCTCATATGTAAAATGAGGGATGGAGCAGAATCACGCGTAACTTGCGCTATCCCAGTGGCGGGGCGGGGAGGGGGGGGCGAGAATCCAGAATTCTCGGGGGGGGTCCAAGCGCTTTTTCTAGGTCCTAGAAAAAGCGCTTGGACCCCCCCCCGAGAATGCGCGGGGTGCAACCTCTTCGGCGAGACCTACGCGGCGCTCTTTACCCAGCCGAACTTGAAGTTGCCAACTCCACTGCTCGCGAAATCGCCCCGCGCGCCCGCCCAAAACTTGATTTGCAGAACCCCCGCGGCGGCGAATGCCGCGACTGCCGAGCACTGGCAGCACTGACGGCGCGCTGGCGCGCGCAGGCTCGCGCGCAGAGCGGCCGGCTGGACTGGCGCGACCGACGAGGCCACGTCGGCGCTGACCGCCAGGCGCGCACTTCCCGGCACGTCTCGCAGGCCGCGCTGGCGCGCGGGCGCTTCAGTGCGAGTCGGCGACCCACCCAGGCGGGCGGGGCGTCGCGGCGACGTCGACGACGGCGGACGCGACGATGATAATAGCGACGCTGGCGACGACGATGAAAATGACGAAGGCAAGGGCAATGACGGCGCAGATGCCAATCGCGCCGACGACGACGATGTCATCCTCGCGTCGCGGATGAAGGTTGCGACGCGGACTTCGACATGCGCGCGGCCGACGCGCGCGACTGGCCTGCATTGCCAATGACACTATTTGACAAGGATCGCGCCCCCCACAACCACCACCACCACCACCACCACAGCACGCGTGCAAGGGCGTTCGATTGATTTCGACATGCGCGCGAGCGGCTCGCTTGTTCGCGTTTGATCCGCATATAAGTATCTATGAAATTATCCCGGCAAAGCAACCTAACAGCGATGTGTATAAGCAGATCTGGAAGCATTCCCCTTAAGATTCAGGTGAGAATCCAGTTGTAGAATTCTGCTGTTCTCGCAGTCGCAGTCGCATTCGCAATGGCAGTCGCAGCGGCAACGGCCTTAGGATCCAATGGAATCCTAAGGATTCCTAAGGATTCCTGAGGATGCTTAACTATGCCTACGGATTCCTAAGGATGCCTACGGATTCATACTAAGGATTCCTAGGGATTCCTAAGGATTCCTATGGATTCCTACGGATGCCTCAGCCTGTCTCAGTTTCAGCCTCAGCCTCAGCCTGCCTCGGCTTGCCTCAGCCTCAGCCTCAGCCTGCCTCGGCCTCAGCCTCAGCCTGCATCAGCCTCAGCCTCAGCCTGCCTCGGCCTCAGCCTGCGTCAGCCTCAGCCTCAGCCTGCCTCAGTCTCAGCCTCAGCCTCAGCCTGCCTCGGCTTGCCTCAGCCTCTCAGCCTGCCTCGGCCTCAGCCTGCCTCAGCCTCCCCTCCCCCCCCTTCCCCCCCCCCATTCAGCCTCACCTTGCAGCCTCCTCAGCCTCAGCCCAGCCTCAGCCTCAGCCTGCCTCAGCCTGCCTCAGCCTCAGCCTCAGCCTCAGCCTCAGCCTCAGCCTCAGCCCTCAGCCTCAGCCTCAGCCTCAGCCTCAGCCTGCCTCAGCCTCAGCCTCAGCCTCAGCCTGCCTCAGCCTCAGCCTCAGCCTCAGCCTGCCTCAGCCTCAGCCTGCCTCAGCCTCAGCCTTCATCAGCCTCAGCCTCAGCCTGCCTCAGCTGCAGCTTACCTCAGCCTCAGCCACAGCCTCAGCCTCAGCCTGCCTCAGCTCCAGCCTCAGCCTCAGCCTGCCTCGGCTTGCCTCAGCCTCAGCCTGCCTCGGCCTCAGCCTCAGCCTCAGCCTGCCTCAGCCTCAGCGTCAGCCTCTCAGCCTCAGCCTGCATCAATCTCAGCCTCAGCCTCAGCCTGCCTCAGCCTCAGCCTCAGTCTCAGCCTGCCTCAGCCTCAGCCTCAGCCTGCCTCGGCCTCAGCCTGCGTCAGCCTCGGCGTGCCTCAGCCTCAGCCTCAGCCTGCCTCGGCCTCAGCCTGCCTCGGCCTCAGCCTGCCTCAGCTCGGGCATTCAGAATATGGCACAAGACTGGTTTACTGGGAACACGAAGATCACGAAGTGGCCCACGGCTGGCTCCGGGCAATCAAAATATTGTATAGGAATGGTGCTCTGGAAACGCGAAGAGCACGAAGTGGCCTACGGCTGGCTCCGGGCATTCGAAATGTGGCCTGGGAATGCTGTTCTGGAAACACGAAGAACACGAAGTGGCCTTCAGTTGGCTCCGGGCATTCAAAATGTGGCCTGGGAATGGTGTTCTGGGAACACGAAGAACACGGAGTGGCCTACGGTTGGCTCCGGGCATTCAAAATGTGGCCTGGGAATGGTGTTCTGTTGGCTCCGGGCAGTCAACATGTGGCCTGGGATGGTAAGGTTCTGGGGAGTCCCTGGATTCCCGCGGCACCCGTCCGGCATCTGCCCAGACCCCCCTGGGGA